CCCAATGCAATCTTACCCCCATGCCCCGGAAGTACGTGCACTCTGAACAGTTGACAGGCTCCGAAAACCCTGCAGCGTAGGGCCTACACCCTTAAATTTCTGGTTTTGGAGTTCAAGGTTTCGGTCAGAGTCAGCAGAATGTTTTAGTGTCCTCAGGATGCATGACCTCAGCCCTCAGCCTTGTATCCTTAGCCTTAGACACTGTATTCTGAGCTGCTGCATTTGCTGCACAACTTCCGAAAGATGCGAAGTGCTGCTGATTTGGGCAAAGCACAAGGGACATGGAACTTCCAGGTTCATGTGTGTGGCAGCTGAACAACCGTAGAACGCAGCCCTCTCAGGTCTCGGCCGGCACACGTCTCTCGCCACGGCCCAAGCCTGCGGCCGACAGCTATGAGGGTTTGCCAATCTGCTTCAATGCCCATGTGGACAACATGTGTACATGATTTATGGTGATTTAGTTTTCAATGTTTAAGATTGCAGGGACTGTTGATCAACAGGCGCTAGCTGCAAGTGACGCGTACCGCAATGCCTGCAGGCACTGCCAGAGGTGGCTCGGATGCCGCCGCCTCGCAGCAAAGACCGTCCGAACATGTCCACGCTGCTCAGACATGCTCGATCAACACCGCTCAGACATGCTCCATCAACACCACTCAGACATGCAGGTTTCAGGGAACGGGGTTTCTGGCTGAAGGTCAGGCGTGCGCAAACCTGCGTTGACTCTCCTTGCCATGCTTCCGACGCTGAGGTCAGGACCTTGCGAGGGAGATCTGCCAGAGGCGGGCCTCGGGATCGCGGGGGGGGGGCTTCGGGAGTCCAGAAACAAGACCTGGGAAGTGGGCAGTTCCTAAATGGCGGAGGTTTAGGAAGTGGGGTTCAGAAGTGCAATGGAAGTGGCTTCAGAAGTGACAGCTGCAAGTCTGGATCGTGCGTTTTTCAGCCTGTTCTTGAACTGCGCGCAGTGAGTGCAATATCGATTTCGCAGCTACGAACTGTTATCAGGTTTCGTAAAGGGGCCCGGTTTCGGGGATGCAGATGTTTCTCCAAACCCCGGTTTCAAGTTCTCATCCCAAACCTACAACCCCATCCAGAATTCCAAACCCAGCTACCCCAGAAAAAAAAACCGGCTGTAACTGTAACCATGAAAGTGTCCCAGCTCCGCACTTCAATAACACTACAGGTAGCAAGACTTCCCCAATCTTCAACAAAGCCCGGCTTGATTGATAACGCTCAGTATGTTGAACGGCATGGATGTCGGAAGTGTATTGCATACAGTCATAGAGCTAAAACCTGTCATTCCCATGGTGCGGTTCGCTATATACTTGGTGCTCTTCAGGTTTGGGTTTGCGAGACCTGCGCATCTCCCGTGCCCAGCAGGGCCCAGAGCACGCCGCTCCTGATTAGTTGAAATGCTTGAGCCTCTGTATGCCTGAGAGTGGCTCCAAGCATGGGTGAAGTCGGAAGGCTCGGTGTCTGTCTGTGTGCACTCTAAGCATGGAACGTATACAAGTTCAATACGCGTCGTTTCTGAAGCAATGCAACTGTCAACCTCAGAAGCTCAAAACTCACTTTTAACCCGAAGCGGAAAGCATGCTGAGTACTATTGACACCCTCAAGAGTTCGTTGACCTGCGTTTGAGGCATCTCTAAGATTCAGGGGTAACAGGTTCGCTTGCTGGCTTCGACGGGTAGGCTTGGGCGCCGCCTGTTTCACCAGATGGCTCCAGATCCTCGCGGGCAGAAGCACACAAGTGCTTCGCAACAATCCTCTCTCGAGACTGTGAACTTCCTGAAGAAGAAATACAAGTTAGGCTGGTTGACGCATGCCGTCGACAAGGAAGGCAACCTGGCTCTGGGCTGTCGTGTTTGCGCAACACTACTGCAGGCGCGGCAAAAGGGGGAGCTCTCAGCATCCCAGGCTCCTGACGGCATTATCAACCATCCGGGGTATCGGTGTCTTGGCGAGCGCAAAGTACATGAATCCTTAGCGGATGTTTCTTCATGTTTAGGTGGTTGGGGATTCAGGGCTACCTTGTGAAGACTCTGTCTTCCATCAGGAAGTTTGCGGAAATGCGGTGCAGTCTCGAATCTGCTCGGCGCACGATTCTAGCCAAGCACGCCGGCTCCAATGCCCACAAGCTTGCATCGCGCGTGAGCAAGGGCGGCGACCTGAAGGTTTTGCTCTCCGGCTCAGCGCCCTCTAAGGCTGGGTGTCATTTTGCAAGGTTTTGGGGCTGGGGTGTAGCACGTGCTGTGTGAGGACGGCGCCGGTTTTTTTTCCATCATGTGCCCGTGACAGGTGCGTTTCCTGAAGCTTTGGGAGCATGTCCGCAGTCGAGGCACTCGACGGCACTTGGCCGATGTCGGAAGGACACGTAAGCTGCAGCGGATGATGTGGTGCATGTCTGAGGCGCTGCGGGCTCGAGTTCGCGCATTCTTGCGCAGGTCCAAGACTCTGGCCCTGCGCCTCGACAAGGGCCAGCGACGGCTGCTCGTGCGTTTGACTGGGGTGGATTCTGGTTGCCATCGGATGTCGGTGGTTCTTGGATTGAAGACTATGTGCGGAGGACATCGCGAGCTACTCTCATGCACGAAAGAGATCCTCGAGGAAGCCTGCCGACCTGAGTCCGGCCGTCCAGCAAGTTGCAAGGAGGAGAGCACTGGAGTGAAGCGGCGCCTCCCCCGTGTAAATGATACTCTGGTGAGGAAAGCCATCAAGCGGATACATCTGTGGAATGCTGATGGCGCTGCGGACGGTCAGCTTGCTGGAGAGCTAAATCTGCGATCCAGTCAGCTAGCAGAGAATCAGAAGACCTTTGGCTGTCTGAAGGCCGTTTCATGGGACTTGACACATGGCAGCAGGAGGCTTACAAGCCGCCCATGGAAAGCAGACAGCTACCTGGCCGAGTTGTTGGATGTGTTTTTGATCAAGAAGACGAGCTTGATTCGCATCATGCAAAACTCGCAGGAGCTGCAAGAGTTGTATGTCCGAAACTGCGCAAACATGAGATCCCGCATCGGAGCTGGCGTGTCGAACCTGTCTTGGGCCGGACATCGTTTCTTGCCTGCCCTCATAAGTTAGTTCCTTGTGTGGATGTCTGGAGTTTGTCAACATCGGTTACCGGTTGAGTGATCAGGTTATGATGCTCTCAGCAAGCCTCTGCCTGCTCTCATAAATTGATTCCTTTTGTGCATGTTTGGATGTTCCCCAACATGTGTGACTGAAGAGGTTGCGATTCAAGCCTCGGCCTGCCCTCCTCAGTTAATTATTGTTGTAACATCAGTGACTGACCAGGTTACGATTCTCTCAGCAAGCCACTCGGCCGATGCGTCCACAGCATTTTCGCAGTATTGCAGACGGCGATGCAGATCACGCGGCTCAGAGCCGGCAAGAAGGAAGCCCAGGCAGCCACCGAGTGTCTTGCCTGGCGCTGGCATGTGTCTGGTTCTCTGGGGTTCTACCAGTTCGGTTTGGGTTCACTAGCTGCCTCAGCCGCGACCATAATCATTGCTAGATCCTAGGCCCTCGCCTCTAAACCCTACGCCCTCAGCTTTACACCTGGACTCGTGCGGTCTAGGTTCTTACGCTTCGTGGACAACGAGCGTCTGCTCCAATTGGCGCTCCTGGCAGACGCAGCGGAGGAGGCCAAGGCATTGACACGGCTGACGGACAGGGAGTCGTGCGAGACCGAGAAGGTCGCGCAGGAGGTGGAAGCGTACCTGGCTCGCATCACTATGCTTTTCATCGACAGGGGGTGCAGGGAGTTTGGGTACACAAACTTCATGCTGCGTCAATTGCGGAACCCCATGCTGGTGTACGCGGACGGCCAGCCCAAGAGAATTGGCGGCCCTCTGGCAGATGGCGTTTTGCACCGAGCTTTTGGACGCATGGCGTGTTGGGTTCGCCTGACCCACGAAGTTGTTAGAGCAGAATATCCCAACTTTAGCATCTTTACGTCGTTCAGCGTTTTCCATCTTCCGGACGATCTGCCAGAAAATCCAGCCGGTCAGTTGAGCGGCGCTGTGGCCGAGAAGCTCAAGCGCCTGGCCAAGTTCTTTCATGTGAATGAGCCCAGTCTCATGAAACAGTTTGTGGATGTGCAAGCTTTGGCCGGACGTTACAAGACCATGAAGGGTGCCACCTCTCGTGAGGC